GTTGAAGTCCACACATCTTAAAGTTGCCAAGTTTGAAAAACACTGGAGTAGAGTGTGACTTTGAGGCAAGAAGCTCCTCACGCAAGCCTCACTTAAGAGCTTGGTAAAGAGTGAAGTTTTTTATGTGGTTAGCAATACCAAACAGTCTTCAATTAAAACAGGGTGCCCAACCTTTTAGGACTGGAATTCACATTTGGAATTTTAACAGGATGTTATGGATACTCTTACAAAAGTGATTGTGGCAAATTGGGAAGTTGGCTCTTCATCATCCCCTGTTACAGTATTGGTGATTGAAAATACAAATTTGCTTTCTTGAAAATAGGGGTTAGGGTTGTGTGTGCACTCCAGCCAAGATGGCAAGGAGTGCACACACATAGTCTACGTGCTCTTAAAATCCTTCTTTATTTTACCTTAGGTTACCTTGCCTTTATATTTTATAATTCTTTTTTTCACTAAAGACAGTAGGACAGGCTGCATCAGTTCATTTTAATGGTGAACACTTTTAAACACTTTGTGGAACAAGAAAGAGAATGGGGAAAAGAAAGAAGTGACATAGAATGAATTCATAAAGATTGTGTTTGAAAATTCAAATTTTCTTGTAGCATGCTAGCTTCAAAAAAATAGAAATGACCAGTCAAGGCATGGAGATTTCTGTGGACATGCTACATTCATGGATGCTACACTGAGCACCCAGAAGCTAAAACATTCCCCACCTAAATTTTATCACCACTGTTAGAAGCCAGGTCAACAGTAATATTTTAGCAATACTTCCAGCTCAGGCTTTAATTCTGATCATTCTCAGGAGTAGAGACTACAGTGTCACCCAAAATTCTGATTTCCCAGCTTTCCCCAACATACTTGTATTCCTCTGTCTTCCAGATGTTTGAACAGCTTTTTGCTCATTGTTATCCTGTTAGGAAAGGATAGAAATAGCAATACAAAAGTTTTAGATATAGGGGCAATCATAGCTCAACAATAGTCTTACTTGGGGAGAGAGGGGTCATTTTTGTGATATTTATTGTGCCCAGAAGGTCATAGTGGGGAAGCAGCTGGTTTGGGTTATGGATTTCATTAAGGGCCCTCCTGCTGGGGAAGGGAAGGAGAAGGTGATGAAGGAAAGGAATACTTAGTAAGAATGAAACAATTAAAACCATGGCTCAGCGTCACTCACTTGGTGATAAGTTTTGCCAGTAGTGCTCCAAATTTGCCCTTTTTCACTGGAAAATAGGTCCTAGGATTAAACAAAACAAAAAGGTGGCAAAGTTAACAAGCTCCTGAGAACTGCTTGTTTCCTGCTGTTCCTCCTCTAAAATATTGGATCCCACACTTTTTCCAAAGAGCCCCTGAATCACAAAACACAAGACAAATGCTTTCCACATGCAAAACTTCTAGAATAATTTTACACACTGACACTGTTCTTCTTTACAACTAAACTTCTAGAGAAGATGAAAGAGAATATAGGAGGAGGGTCAGCTTAACTTCATGCTGTCCTCACACTATAGGGGGAAAACTCCATTCAGTGAGGCCTGATGTAACTCAATGCCTTGCCTGTACCATTTTTTTTCCAGAATTCCTTCCACATATTGGCATATCAGAGAGATACAAATAATTCCACTTGAAGGCTTGGGTTTTTTTGTTTTTGTTTTTGTTTTCCATTTTGCTTTTTAATACTTCCTGCTTCCCAAAGAGCCAACAATATGCCTCTTACAAAGTCCATAAATGAGCATGCAGATGACAGCCCTCTCTTGCTACTTCTCCACAGCAGTTGCTATTGGAATTAAACTGCCTTTGAAATGAAAGATCCTATTTAGCTATATTCCTCTGTGGACATTCAGTGAAATGTTTACTAGTTTTGGGGGTGGCAAGGGGAAGCAGAAAGCTGGTAGGAGAGAGGGGGAATGGAGTATTCATACATTGTCTATAGACACCAATTTGACATGCAGCTCGGGGTGTCATACAAAATGGCACGCAAGAAATGTCAACCGGCAAAAGAATAAAATGTAATGAAACATATTGTGCCAGAGGCAGCTTGCACACAGGAACAATTGATCAAGAGGGACTCCCAACATCTCTTGACCCAATGCCTGGGGAAAGGCCAGTCTTCATATCTTTTCAGCAGACAGGCAGGGGCAGGGCCATCTGGATCTTGGGGAAAACACTGTTCCATAGGGGAGACACAGCAATAGAAAAGGCACATTGCTCGGGTCCGATCAGGTGAGACTGCTTAATTGATGGGACCTGGCACATGCCAACCCTATCAAATCTTATTGGATGGGCAGGAGCAGTTGGAGATAGGTTGTCTCATAAATAACCATGCCCTGTACCATGAGCAATATCCTAGGACAAGGCTGGAGCAAAGGGTTTGAGATTGCAGCATTGGCCGTGGCTAACTGGGATGGATAGACCAATTGTCTACAAGGCCTCATTTCTCTGCTCTCCTTAGCTGAAAATTCTTGGATGCTGGTTAGCACCTTGTTCTGCAGAAAGGCCACTTTGTTTGTTTGTTTGTTTGTTTGTTTATTAAATTTGTCCCCCACCCACCTCCCCCCAAGGGGGGACTCTGGGCGGCTCACGACACATTAAAACAATAAATAAATATACAGTTAAAACCTATAACAAGACACATTCACAAAAATAAAAGGGAAAAAATCCAGGAGGCCGATGGTTCAAGGCAGCAACGC